ACTGTGATGGTGTTCCTCACTAGAGCAAGTTTCAGAGCATCTGGGTGATTTCACATAGAAAATCATCGGAAATCAGGAAGGAGGATGTTTCGGCCCATGAATATGGTTTCGCTCACAGCATTGCTTTACGCGCATGTGGAGTTAAACTCGGAGGTATAATTTGCAGACTCTGCTGGCTAAAGAAGGTGAGGTGGTAGATCACTATCAACCGCAACAGCAAGTGATTGTTACGTTTTGCAATAGACAAGAGTGGACCCACTTCAGTCGCCGGGTGCCACTGCAAAAAATTTTCTCGGGATTATAAGGCAAGTAATCCCGACCTGCGCGGTGGCACGACGACCGCATAAGGATGTTCTCTCTGCCCGACGAACAGTACCCGGAGTTCCGTTGAAACCCGTACATCGGCAAGAACATTTGCTAGGTACCAAGACAATAAACACTGGAACCAGCAATCAGGAGGATCGCGAGCTCTTTTCGGTTGAGACCAAATTGAGTACGAGTAGTAATTCTGGACTTACTCGCGCAGAACGAGCAGTAGAAACACGTACGCCCCAAGGATCATTCAGAAAATTCATGTAATGACTGTCCGACGAGCGACGTTCTCCTGGGATAAACATGGCTATGGTCGATAATCTGCTGCAATTCGAGGCTGATAAGAAAAAGACTTGTATATCCAATAGCTAACATGTGCAGCGACTCTCTCATTTCCACAAAAACCGTATACCTCCTGAAATTACCCGTCTTTGGGAAAGTTCATCGATTCGTATACAGAGTACGTCTAAGGGTGTGATTCTGAGAGCAACGGGATAGTTTAAGATGAGCAGTTCCGAGGCTCGATGTGAACACTCGTCTATGCTAGCATAACACTAGCTATTGTCAATGAATCGCACTATCACTGGAATATCGGATCTAGCTCACGAGCTCAGCTGAGTCGAATGAGCCGAGCGCTCTCGTTGCTGAGCTCACCGGAAGTATTTTTGACATGACACCGAAAACACTTCCAGAAGTCACGTGACCTGCAAAACGAAAACTACTAGCCGTCCTCATTCCTCTGGAGAAAACTGATAGTACATAAGGTCAAACGAGGCTACAGCAAAAGGCGACATGGAGAATAACTAGTATTAATATTAATTAGTAATTGTCATGGAATAATATTTATCAAAAATGAGAAAGAATAATTCGCCAAAGAGGAAGTTAGATCAAATCGCGTTCTTCTCCAGGGAAAATCGTCTCCAGGTTGAGCACTCCGATGTCGAACATTCGTTTAGCGACCGGTCCAGTGCTGATGTATGATGACGGAATGTGAGAACTTAACCTTGCGCTTTGCCGGGCTGAAATTTAATGTCAACCTTCATTTTGGTATGGACAAGTTATAGTTTATCAACTTCAATGTACCTTGATGCCATCGTCACAATCATGGTATATCTTGAACACAGGACTAATAGTTGTGAGCTCGCTTTCGGATCCCTAAAAGAAACGGGTAGTTGGAAGGAACACAGTTACAAGGGTGTAGGTCAGGAGATCCAGATTGCAGCGGCGTGGCAAAAGTGGCGGCTTGCGCGCAAACCATTTCCAGCCAACCCCGCATTTCTTTATATTTTATTCATGGTGGAGACTAAAATTTTATAATTTCTTTTCGCCTTTTCTCTTCTATTTAGTTTTCGTCCGTTTTTCGAAAAAAAAAGAATGAACTGTATTAAGATGGCTAAAATATCCAACGAAAAGTGAAATTAATCCAATTAGGGAGTTTTTCAAATTGCGCCATCAAACGGAAATTATTGGGTGTTCGCTAATATTTCCTTAATGATTTCTTCAAAAGTGACAAGGTATTCGGGCATTCTGTGTACCTGTCGACGCAATCTTGATCTTCTGACTATTACGAAAATTACGACCATTTAATTACATAGTAAAAATAGAGTAAGCTAAATCCTTACCTTTAGGGTGAAAGTGCCGTCAGCGGCTGTTTTGTCTTCGTCGAGGAGATCGTCAGGATAGGATCCTGAATTATGTCGGTTCTTTGCGAGGATCCAGGCACAACGACTACATGAAGGACTATCCCGTGTACTGCGAAGTTTGCCGACCAACTGCCATCCAGTATTTTGTTGGTGCATAATATCGTAGCGCTTGCATTTTTCATTTTTGCACGCAAACGTTTTGTGAAGAAATTAAAAACATAAAACTAATCAGGGATGTCCACTTTGCCATTATTTACGACTTTTATCCTATTTTGCAGAAAGTCACTGGATTTGGAATTGAAAAAAAGATGTTGGGCTCGCTCGAAGTCTTCATTATTTCGCAATTTGTACGACATGAATACGGTCTTAATTTGAGTGAAATATGTAGGGTTGGTTAGAGAGAGGTTCGATAAGAACAATGGATTCTGAAGAACTTTTGTTTTGACGGTATTTTTTTCTTTATGTGAACTGAAAAATAACAGCTGTCGAAATGCCGATTTCTGCCGTCTGGATTTTCCAACTTCTAAGCATTATGTATGAGTACAAATATAATTTTGAGGGAAATGACGAAGTAATTTTTGTAGAGCGAAAAAAGCACTTTCAAAAGGTATAGGCGATTTTTAGGGTTTCTCTTGTACTGATTGAATTTACACGCCCAAAAAAACGCTACGATATTATGCACCAACCCAATACTTGCCCAAATGGCTACCTTAATTTGCTTTTGTTGTTCTTCTAATGTAAACAAAAGCAACTGGAAGATCACAAGTTAGCTGAGCACAGAGTTTTTTCCTTACTGAACCGACATTCATCAGCGCAGAGGACAAACAGCAAAACATACAAATGATTAGTCCAAGACCGACTTTCTCTTGAAGGGATTACGATAGGCGGAGGCCAAAGAAGGGAAAGCTTACTTTGTGGTAAGATAGGAGGGGCCTAACGGTTCGGAACGCCACACAATTCGCATCGAAGGACGTCTCCCGGCGATTTTGCATGGATATCCCCGCGCCGCTATCGCTTCTACTCGCCCACCCCTCACCGTCTGACTGTAACCGCACAACAGAGAGGGTTTTGCGTTCATAAGGTCACGCCGAAATACCGCCTCTAAAGCTTCAAATCTCGACTCCATGTTCTCGCATTTTATGCGTTATGTTTTTCTTGATTTTTCTTTACACCTGCATAACTGACCAACTCACCTTGATTTCCAGCGGGCAAAATTTCTTCATAAATATCACTTTTATCATATTGGCATGGGGAGATGTCTGTGTGGTAATAGGGCCTCCAATCAACAATTCTAATCCATGGATGGTCGATCTTCTGCCTCGGCTAGGATAATCTTGGAAAGTCTCACAGCATTCTGTGATCGATACCTAGCTATGTTTTATTATTTCAAGGGAAATATCAAAATTGTGCCAATGTGTCTCTCCATTTCTCTGGCTCTCACGGGGGCGAATAGTCGAAACGTGTTGTTGGGGAGTACCAATAAGAGACCGCGTCGTTATGAGGCTTCAACGAACTATTTCATGCATGTGATTGGCTAAACTCCATTGATCCTCCATAAATTAACATAGCAGCACTAGGGAAAGGGCTCACAAAGGAGCTGACTTACCGGAATCTTCTTCCCAAAGCTTCACCTTGACACCGGATGCCGGCTTCTTCCGCACAGCAGCGCTTCAGGATTGGCTCGATTGTTGGCGCGAGGCTAGGCAGTAGCCAAATAGAGCAATCAATATTACGTATTTCATCTGTAAAGAGCTGATTTTCGAGCACTCCAGTGAAATAACAAATTTAGACTTCAAAAGACGGCTAATGAACACCCTAATCGTTTGATTGACTGACGGCCTCCTCGATTCTGAAAATATATGGGGAGGGGAAGCGTGGGAGTCGAAATAAAAATATTGATCACGACTTCACTATCTTATCACTACCGTCTGAATAAGGTGCCCTTTCGTCTGACAGTTTAAGCCGATTAGGCATGCCAGACGTGCGTTCCTTTTTTTTTCATCACAGTGCCCCACTTTAGAGGCACAGCGGTTATCATTACGACGTCCCATACCCTCTGGTTCCGTCTATGCCGCGCCAACCAATCCTCCCACTTAACCGGGCTTAGTTGATCGCCTAATAGGTTTCCCCAATGATCGAGCACCCACTCATATTTGTTACACGTTTTGTAAACGTATATCGGAGCCACCAAGAGCAGTCTATTAGACTTCAAGGTAGAGTTGGGCGTGGTGCAGGGATGAAGAAAAACCGTATGGAACGTTCCAGAACCCAAAAGGAATCGTTCTTTCATCAATTTCGGTTGAAGGACTCTCTCGTGCGCTCTCTTCAAAGCTACCCCTCTCTTCTCCAGCATCGAACAACCAGGCCCGCAGGGTGAGCGCGCCGCGGCGGCAGACCGCTGGGGTTATACTCTTCGCTGCGAAGCGCTCATGGTCCGGTACTTTCACAGTTACCGCCTGCCTTTCGTCGGCATTTTTCCCTTTCCCCGCCTCCGACCTTATTCTGGAATTCTCCCTTCAACACATGTCAATCCCTAAGAAGCGTGCTACGAATCTAATATCTACTTCGGTTTAAATAGAGCAGATAAACAGACAGAGATAGATGGGGATAGATTATAGACATAATAGACAATTACAAATTGCCCTTGTGCCATAAACTTCTATATTTCGTAAGGTTGCACTAATCTCTTCTATGCGAGCATGTCATTCGATCCAAGCGCACGTGTTCGCATTCGCTATACCTTTTCCGAGCGAGCTTATTTCATCGCTTAATGACCTCCTGCTTTCAAACGTATCAAAATCTTAGCTCTGAAAAGCAAAGGGTTGAAAGGTACTGCAGGCAAGCAAGGACAAAACACTGTGCCTTGAAGTCCACCTAGATGTAGTCACATTATCATGAAGTTGCTAATTATAGAAGAAGCTCCTGATTTACAGATGAACTTTCGTCAACTATAGAGGTAACCAATTGTCAACAGCAGTTTCGTTGTACAACGACAACCTGGCCGTGAATACTTTTTTACAAGGATCAGGATATTACAGCATTCCAGAGTTATCGCACGTATTGCTGGTTCGTTATGGGCACAAATGAATATACAACTGGAAAATCTTGGCCAAATTGCATGTGAAGAGATCATCTTTATCACTAGTAATACTTAAACAATGATCAAAGAACAATTCGTCATCTACTTCAGCAAACACAGGCACAAGGTCGATCTCTCCAATATTGTACGGGCGTCTGGCAACATGCCCATTGGTGATGTACGTTTCAGGAATCCAATACTGAGGATTATAAAATCCGCTTATGCCGGGCTGACAAAAAGGCGTTAAGCAATCGGCACGCAGGCAAAAAAAAAAACCTACACATATTTATAATTTTTTACTGTTTATGCCAGCCCATACCCTATTCCTGTTCCAACAGCGACTGTGATCTTTAAATACTGGACAATAGTATTTTCTTGATACTTCGTTCCCTGAAACTGAAATCACCTTATATTCGGAACTAGTGTCAGATTCAGAAACCTGCCCTCAGGGTGAAATCACCGGTGTCATTTGTAACATCTTGGTCAAGAAGAACGTCGGGATCCGGCACTGCAACATGAGAGAGAGAGTAATTAAAAGAAGCACTCTTGGAAGTCGGGGGGGGGGGGGGGTCGATTGCTGGAAGCCCCAATTAGTCCATGAAGGAAGAGGTACTCTCAAAATTATTATTTATTTCCAGATTCAAGCTTTGGTATCGACCTTTTTGAGAGCTTCTTCAATTCTGCTTTTCACCTTATCCCTTGCAAAATCCATGCACTTGAATCAGGATGAATTAATGATGGGTGATTCCACTCAAATATGAATGGGAGGGGACCGCCAGTGGAGAAAAAAGGAAAGAAAATCCTGAAATACACAGGAAATACGAGCATTTTGCTCCATGCTGTGGAGAAGTTCAAAAGACAGGCAGGAGATGAGAGATAATGTGAGCGCGGAGAGTGGTAGAGAAGTCCGAGAAGAGAGAGCATAGCAGATCAACGTGGCGACGCAGACAAGATATCGAACGGTGGGCGGACCATGTTAAGTTTGGTGGAGTCTGTTAGAAGTCCATGGCGCCTAGGGTCCTAGTGACGCGTTTCGATGTAGAAAGGTGGCGCTACCTTTGCACTTGCGTACCCAGCACTTCTAGCCATGGTAAGGGCTTCTTAGGTGGGTCTGAGCCCGAACTTTGCCTTTAACCTTTAAGGCAGGTGGCAGAATAAGTTGGATGCTGAGGACGAGGAAATGTGCTATCACCCACCCTCTCTGTGCTTTGCCGAATCAATCTGTTCGTACAGCTGAATTGCCAGCATTTTATTTAGCATTTTTTTACAGCTCTACCGAAAAAAAAGATGAAGTAGCCACGTGTTAACAGATAGATTTCTTCACTCACTATTGCTTTTGTCCCAAAGCCTCACCCAAAACCCGGGAAGCTGGATAGTTTCCACACATCAGCCTTCCAGTGATGGCTACCGATTGTTGTCGCATTGTTAGGCAGTAGCCGAAAAGAGCGCCTCATCTATACCTAGGTACTTACTCAGCAAAAGTTGAATTTAACGGCACATTTCGCTTTCGCAAAGAAATTGGTTAGTAAGGGTGAAAGTGAGAAGACAGATACATTTAGCAAAAAAATCACTAAGAATATTCTCCATGTTCGCCTTTCGTGAAACCTGGGCATTCTTTGTTGCCACAGGTTTTGTACGGTGGAATCTTTATTGAGCCTGACGTTTCGACTATATCGTCGTCCTCAAAGGCCTGAAAGCGTTTTGAAAAGCTCAAATGTTACCTATCCGCTCAATATGGATCCACATTTGACCAAGTACCACGTAGGCTAATGAACTAAGGAGTGGGAACTCCAAGATTGGGTCGCTTACCT